TTTTTTATTCCTTATGATTTTTTTAAGATTTGTTTTATTTATATAAGAACTGGGGTACAGGCCAGAGGCATGGGAGGGTGAAAAAAATTCACCAGAGACAGTGGGGAGCAGAACAGACAGATGGACAGAACACTGCTGAGGGGAGCAGCAGGCATGACAGGAGAGGTCTGCTGCGCCATGTGGGTATCTCCCTGGCTAGCTGGGAATAGAACCCATGCTGAAGAGGCTGCAGACAACTTCATAGCGCTGCGCTCAACCCGCTGGCCACTGGGGAGGCCCTTCCTTATGATTTTCTTGATGACATTTTATTTTCTCTAGCTTAATTTAAGAATACAGTATATAACATGTAACCATAAAGTATGCGTTAATCAACACCTTTTTTATGTTATAAAGCTGCAGGTCAATAGCAGGCTATTAGTAGTTAAGTTTTCAGCAAGTCAAAACATATATGTGAATTTTTTACTGTAGAGGAGGTCAGCATCTCTAACCCTTGCATTGTTCCAGGGTCAATAGTACATGCAAAGGGGGTAATATTATTAGAAAATCACCATTCTGTAATTTGTAATGAAGCAATGGATTTAGGTGATCATCATCATGGATGCCAAAACAGTAAGGTGACAGATTGATGGGCAAATTTCTACTGAAGGGACCAGACTAACCCTTTAGCATCATTAACAAGTGAAAAAGATCAATTTAATATCACTAAAAGATGAAATTAAAACAAATCAAAAAAATACCATGAAACTAAGGACACAAGCTGTCAGAATTCATGGGATACAGTAAAACTGGTCTTGAGAGACAAGATAATTGCAGCACCGGCCCACATTAAGTAAGAAAAACCCCAAATAAACAATATTAAACCAAAAGCAATTTGTAAAGAAGGAACAAATAAAACCAAACTTTAGTAGAAAGAAGGCTATAACAAGGGCACAAAAAACAATATGGAGATCAAAAGGACAAAACAACAAAAGATAAGTGAAATTAGGAGTTGGTTTTTCAAGAAGATAAAGTAGGTAAACCTTTAGCTAAACTTACAAAGAAGAGAGAAAACATTAATAAACAGAATAAGAAATGAAAGAGGGGAAATTACCACAGATGATATAGAAACTAAAAGGATCGGAGATTACTACGACCAATGATGTGCCAAAATATTTGATAAATTTAAAGAAATGGAAAATTTCTAAAACAATATGGTTTATCAAGACCACACCTGAAATAAATAGAAGAGTTGAATCAACTGATCACAATAATGGAAACTGAAAGAGTAACAAAAAGGTTCCCAAAAAGTAAAGCCCAGGCCAAACAATTTTACAACTGAATTCTGTCAAACCTTTAAAGAACTTATGTCCATCTTCCTCAAATTATTTCTGAAAATCTAAAAAGAAGGAAAGCTCCTTAAATCATTCTATGATGCCAACATTTCTCTAACAGCAAAATTAAAGATAGCACAATAAAAGAAAGCCACAGATCAAAACTTCAGATGAGTATTGCTACATGTTACCTGAGTTTATACTATAAAACAATAGTAATTAAAAGGACATTTGAATAAAAATGAGCACATGAATCAATGGAACAGAACCAAAAGCCCAGAATTAAATCCATGCATATATCAATAATTTATTATAAAAGAGTTACAGCTAAACAATGAATAGAGTCTCTTTAACAATGCTGGGGAAACTGGACAGTCACATATAAAAGAATGATTGATGTTAGATTATTGTCTAACTCTATGCATACAAATAATTTCAAAACAGATTAAAGACTTAGATTTAAGACCTGCAACAATAAAATATACATAAGAAAACATTAGCAATACATTCCAGGACATCAGTGATAAAGATGTCTTTGAAGACTTGACCCCTACAGCAAGGGAAATGAAACTCAAACAATTGGTCTTTTTCCTGGTCCCTTATTTAGGTTTTCTAGGAAAAAGACTAATTATAAAAAAGAAAAATCAAAATCAACAAGCAACTATAAACCAGAGACACACTACTGGGGGGGGGGGGGGTGGGCAGAGAGAGGAAGGATTAGGGTCAAAATAAGGGGGGGGTGTGTAATTGTATGGGGAATATAACCAAAATGAAAATGCATACATTGTGCAAAAATGAAAAATGATGTAAGAATTATATAAAATAAAATATTTGTTAAAAAGCTCAAATAAATAATTGGGATTACCTCAAGTTAAAAATTTTTACACAGTGAAAGAAAATACAAGAAGGTTAAAAAGACATCCTGCAAAATGGGAGAAAATATTCACACATTACACAACAAACAAGGGGTTAATATACTAGACATACAAAAAGCATTCGATTTAACAACAACAACAAAAAAAAAAAACACAAACAACCCAATTAATAAATGGGCAGCAGATCTGAACAGACAATTCACCAAAGAGAATATCTACAATGCCAACAGATATATGGGAAAATGCTCACCGTCACTTTTAATAAGAGAGAATACTGGTCAAAACCACAATGAGACATCATCTCACACCTATGAGAATGGCAACATTTAGAAGACTCCCAACATCAAGTGCTGGAGAGGATGAGAAGAGAGAAGAACCCTAATGCATTGTTGGTGGGATTGTAAACTGGCTCAGTCATTTTGGAAAATGATCAGGCTATACCTTAAAAAAACAAAATGAAAGTATAGCCTATGACCCAGCAATCCCATTCTCAAGTATCTATCCAAAGAATGCAAAACCACCAGCCAAAATCATTTTAAGTTCTACAATGTCTACTCCGGCATTATTTACAACAGTTGTGTAAACAACCTATGTGCCTGGTGATAGAAGACTGGATCAAGAAGATGTGGTGTATACAAGCACTGGAATACTGGTCAGACGTAAGGAAAAACAATAATGTTATCATTTATAGCACAATAGGAGTTTGTGCAGTAAAACAAATCAGTATGACAAAAACAAATATGAACATTTGCATAATAGGTGCATCAATGATTCAAAATACTCACAAAAATTAGCTGATACTAATAAGTGAAGTGAGGTTTCTGAGGTTAAGATGGGAGGGGAGAGAGAGGGTGAAATTACAGGGATGGTGGAAAAAAACTAATATAAAAAAAATGTCAATTGATATTTACCCAAAAAATTCAACATTGACTAGTGGCAGAAAAAGTAGGAAAAAAGAGAAGGAAGGGAGAAGTAACCAGAAAGAAAGAAGAAACTAGAAATGTATTTATTTTTTTATCCACGTTAGATTTTATTGATACTAATATATTGCCATATGTTTTCTCTCTCTTAAAAAATGTATTAGGAAAAATTTGACTATCCAAGAGTCCATGTGGAACAGAAATTGGAAGATAAAGGAAGACTCAGAATTTTACCATTTTTGCAATCCCTATTACTGCTGAACCTCCACAGAAAATAGAAAAATTTTTTAAAGGTTTTATTTATTTTTTCATGGAAGAACTAAGCAGGTGCATTTACTGAAATACACTGCTAAAGGGAGCAGCAGGCAAGACAGGAGAGGTCTGCTGTGCCATATGTGGATTAACTCCCTGGTCAGAGATTGAACTTAAGCTGTCATGATAGCACTGAAACTTAACCCCTAGGCCAGCAGGGAAGCCCAAAACTATTTTAAAAAGTGAAATTGATCCATTTAATGCCATTCAGAGGGAGGTACAACATTTACACCATGTTGCAGCAGAAAGAAGCAAATATCACCAATAAATCTTGCATGAAAAATTGAATCTGATCAAGTCATTAAAGGTAACACTTTATGGAAAATATGAGGAGAGGAGCATATGACACACTTAGATCATGTAAAAGTGATCCTTTTTTCTTCCCCCTCAATTTCATATGCTGGTTCTCTTCTCCCAGAAAATCCCCATGTCACCTAAGACTAAATATTACCACATCTGTTAGGCACCTAAAGAAGCAATAAAAATGTTTCTAAGAACACAACTTACTTACTACATTCAAAACAGAGTTACTTTAGTGAATAGAAGTAATACCTATTCTGCAATGCAGGTAGAAAAGTGTTTGAGGACACTCATAATAAAGATGTTTCTAAAATGGCTAAAAAAACAAAGCCCTCATCTGAGAGGCAGAGATCCCAATGTGAGAGGTGAGAAGTTGTCCCTGTGAATGAAAGCTGTACCCCACAGCTATGGATGAACAGAGATACAGGCCAGGGGGATGCAAGGTGACACAGCAGTAGCATCTATCACAGGAAGCTTCAAAATAAATTTGAGGCAATTAAGAAAATTTGACAGTCATATCCAAGAAGAAAACAACAAACCAACTAAAATATATACCTAAAAATAATATTTTACATTTTGTTTTTCTCAACCACTACCTTCCTATCCAAACAGGAGTAAAAGGTAATAGCCTAATTTCCCACCTGGGTCTTCTCCTTGTTGTCTCCTCCTACCTACCTCTTTTCCATTTTCCCACTTTACAAACAGGTTTTCCTCTGCTTTGTCTCCCTTTGCACAGACTTAATTTTCTCACTACTTAAGTATTTATTCATGTGTATTCATTAGGCTACATATTTCTCAGAATGTTTTCTGATTTGGGAGATGGCTTGGTCTTTCCTACACTTTCATTTTCATTTTTTACAGACCCCATAATGAATGCAAATGCAAATTTCAGAGGCATATATCACATGAAAAGAGCATCTGACATTTGCTTTTCCCTGCACCACCTTGAACTAGACCAGATCTAATAATGCTCCCTGATTTTATTAAAACTGTAACAATATCAAAAGTTGTACAGAACTATGTTGAAATGGATGAAACTCTCTGGATAAACCATAACTTGTTTATTGCATATTCAATGTTCAATCTTGAATATCAGGGAAAAAATATTAGCTTTTTTACATTTCTAAACACTTTATCAAATTCTAAATTCTACCTTATTTTTGTGAATTATTAATTATTGTCTTTTACATGGAACTCAAGTGACATCATGAAAATGAAACTTGGTCTTTATATCACCAGAAGCAAACAAGTGAAGAATCATCAACCAATATCATCCACTCTACCTTAATTTTCTTGTGCTTGATAATCCACTTATATGGTTTCCAACGTAGAGGAGAGGCAGAGGAAACAGCTTCAATGAAAAAAAAGAAAGAATATTTGGTTAGAACTTCAATAATGGATATCTCTTCATATATAAAGCAAAATGATATGAACTCCCCATCAGTAAATAAATCAGAGTTCCATTTCCTGAAATGACTGCAAATTTTCAAGCATCCAAAACATACCCATGAGTTTCTCCATATGATCAAAACAGTCAGATGGACAGTGATATTCATAATCATAGGCTAGGAGAAACTGGATAGAAATGGAATTGATGACCCTAATCATATTAGTAGATTAAGTAAGGTTCTGAACAAGCACCTCTCTTGAGTGGAGACCCCTGGCTGGGGTAGTGAGTTGAGGATGGATATTTATAGTGTATGCATGAGACTCAGAAGGTTGGTGAAAGGTGTGCAAATTTCTGTTAACATGGGCCTCCCCAGGTGGTGCAGCGGTTGAGCTCTGGGTTGCTAAGCTGCCCGCAGCCTCTGTAGCACTGGTTCGATCCCCAGCCACCGGACGAGGGTCCCACATGGCGTGAGTGTCCCACATGGTGCGAGGGTCCACTGCCGCCTGCTGCTCCCCTCAGCAGTATACTTCGTCATTCTGCCTGCTCTGCTTTCCCCTCTGACTCTGGTGAATTCTCTCACCCTCCCGTGCTTCTGACTGTACCCAGTGCTTGTATAAATAAATAAAATCTTTACAAAAAAAAAAAAATTTCTGTTAACATGAACATTTCACTTTCTAAACAAAGGCAAAAGTTTTTGTCTCTCACTTGCATGTCACAAGGTAGGTGTCACATAAATAGTTGTATATAGTGGCACACTTTTGGGAGTTACTTTATTTGTTTTAAAGGCCCCAAATGATTAAATATCTACCAAGGCCAAATAATGTACCAGAAGTACTTAAACTAGGTTTATGAGCTCCTGAATTATTTTCTAATTGTCAGCAGAAATATTCAGAACATACAAAAGAAACCAGACAAAATGTAAGATCTAGTCTTCCATAAGTAAATTTCATAAGAAAACAATATCTATTATCATATATTATAATGTTATATATTTTAATGTATATTTTATAAGAACTTTTTAACCAGCATAACAGACCGTAGATATCAAGGACATTAAGCGTGCAACTAAGATCCTTAAAAGGATTTTGAAGTATTCAGTGTCATGTGCAAGAAAAAAAAAAGTTACACAATTTTATTATCTGGAGACTTACTCAAAAATAAACCAAACATATAAGAGAGGCCAAGAGATTCAGGACCTTCCCCTTATTGTCAACATTCAGATTAACAACCTACACCTGATTCGACAGTAACACCGTGGGTGAAATTAGAACTTTCAGGATTTTAAGGCATTGAAAGAATCAGTTGCCTCCATTTCCACATATATAATCAAAATAAGACCAATAATGACTTGTGGTTTCCAGTAAAAGTACACTAGATTATTTGCCCTAGTCTCTCTGTGGAAAACAACTTAAAGTGCTAGGTAAAATAACTTATAGCATAAAATCATGAAAGAAATGAGAAAATAGTGAAGAATCCCCAGACTAAAAGTGAAGTGAGAACAAAATCCCAGAGAGAAACAAAGAATGCCAGAGGACGACAGAATTACGTCTTCAACCTTCTGCCAAACTGGAATTCTACCAACAAGAATACTTCTCAAAGCCAAGGGGAAATTTCAGACTTTTTCAAACTAGCACTAAAGAAATTCACCATCAGTAGAGCATCCATACATTCTGAAAGACATCCTGCAGGGAAGAGGGAGGGAGAGGAATCGGAGGGAGGGGGAGAGGCCCACGGGTGCCTTGGGGAAGGAAATTCTAGGGGGACTACACCTGAGTGGGGTAAGTAAGCATTGTTTAAAAATGAACAATGATGTAAAATATATATAAATTTTTAAAAAATTTAAAAATAAGGAAAAAATAAAGGAAGTAGATATTTTAATTAGGAGGAAAATGGAAAATGTGATATGAAAAAAGGAAAGAAAAACAAAAGAAGCAATAAATATGTGTGAAAATGTAATCAAACATTCCTTTTTAAAAAAAATTTTAATGTATTATAAGGTTTAAATGAAGGTAAAGTATTAAAGTACCTGCTGACAAGAGCATAAAAGAAGAGAGGAGGGGTAAATAGGAGAAAGACTTTACACTGCTGAGGGGGAGGGTACTTAACAATCAACTTCAGCACTTGTAAGTTAGGTATACCTGCTATCACACCCAGGTTAACACTGGATGAACTGAATCAGAAGAGGTTCACATCATGTAAGTAAAGACTTTATAATCTACCATGAAGAATTAACTAATAATCCAATTTTTAGGCTCCTAATAAAACAGCCTCAAAATAAATAAATCAAAAGAAAAAATTGGACAGAAATAACCAAGAGAAAGAGAAAAATTCACAGATGATGGCTATAACAATATCTCCTATTCCACATTCTCTTCAAATGTGACTTTGACACTCCCCCCCTCCTTAAAATTGGATGGGATTGTTTTCAACAAATAGAATACAATTGAAATGATGTTATGCGACCTCCCAAGGTAAGTCATAGAAGGCAACAGAGTTTGGGCCTTGCTTTTTGAATCGCTCACTCTTAGAAGATTTCAGCTACCGTGTAATCATTCTGCTCCTCCTTAGTCTGTCATTTTGTAAAAAAAAAAAAAAAGTCAAACTAGTCTACATGGGGAAACACACAGAGAAGCCTGAGGTTACTGAATAGAGATGTGTGAGCAGCTCCCATCTGCACTAATCTGCTGCCATTGTTTCTGCTCTGCCAGTGTCTGTGGGCAACTACCTGAGAGCCTTAAGTTAGAACTGCCCAGATGAGTCCTCCCCAAATTCCGTAATCATAGTACCTCTGAGAAATACAATGATTAATGTTCCGAATCACTAAGCTATGCAGCAAAAGTCACCTGGAATATGGATAAAAAGTATCTACAATAAAACCTACAGCAAATAACATACTTAATGGTGAAATGTTAAGTTTCCCTTTCAGATCAAAGGTCATGTGTGTAAGGGCAGGAATGGACACGGTGCAGGTTTTCTATGATCCAGCAGACCGGGTAAAGGAGGAATTGGTGTCCTCAGTGGTTTTGCAGTTTTATTATTGGGATTACCAGGTATATGGCAGGCAGGGGTGCTGGGGGGCTGGTAGGCTGGCAGGCCTCCCAGCCCCCAGCAGGTCTTCACTCTGGGGTCTCCAGCCTTCTCTCGGCTTCTGCAGCTCTTGCTTCTCTCTCGGCTTCTGCTACTTCTTTCTCAGCTTCTCTTTCTGCTTCTGCTGGCGTCCCCATGACGCCGCCCTTAAAAGCCCAGTCTCAGCCCAGGTGAATCCCGTCTACCTATGCCCACATCAGGCATGCATTCAGGACCACAAGGATCCGTCATCTATTCTAATGGCGGGAGGGCAGAAAAGCCTGACATTTTTCCTTACCCTACAATGTGATAACTAAACTTTTTAACCAACATAGATATCAAGGACATTAAGCCTACAACCCAGTAGTACCATTTCAATCAACACTGAACTGGAGGTCCTATGCTATGCAGTAAGCAAGTAAAAGAAAAAGAAGAATGTTGGCAAATCAAAACAAACTGTCATTTTTTGCAGACGAACTGATTATGAATATAGATAATCCAAAAGTAACTACAATTAAATTATAATTAATATTCTACACTTTTGCAGATATAAAAACAGTATAAAACATGGACATTGTTTTTCAAATAATGTCATTTTTTAAAGCACAACAGCAAGAAAAAAGGTACCTCAGAACAAATCTAACAAAAATGTTAGAACTATAAAAAGAAACCTTATAAAATTTTACTGAGGGCAATTAAAGAGTATGTGTACCATGCTCATGGATTGAAAGATTAAACACTTGAAAGATGATGTTAATTCATCTCAAAATGCTTTAAAACTTCAACACAATCACAAATAATCCTAAAAGATCATTATTTTTTCTGGAATTTGAAAAGCTGTTTCTAGTCATAGAGGAATGTAAAGAACCAAGAACTAAGAAGAAAGACTTGCTCTATTAGATAGTAAGACTTTTCATGAAGCATGAAATAATTAAGATTGGGTGGTAATGGTACAGAAAACACTAATGGACAAAGGAAAAGTCTTGGAGAATTTGGGGGGAAAAATAAAATTAAAACATTAGCTCACACCATACGCAAAATGAAATCCAAGAAGATTAAAAGCCTAACACATCTAGAAAAATATCTTTCTGACCACAGAATAAAAAAGGATTTTCTAAGTAGGTAAAACAATAATTATAAAGGAAGAGACTGAAAATTTTGACTAATTTCCAATGAAAAGGAATTAAAATAAATAGGAAATAAAAGGAATAAGAATAAAAAGGAAATAAAAAGTTAAAATTCCTGTTTATGATAAGGAATACAGACATGCATCACTTAATGATGGGACTACATTCTGAGAAATAATTTGTTAGGTTCCTTCATGATTGGAGGAATATCACAGAGTGTAATTATGCAAACCTAGATGACATAGCCTGTTACACACTGTTACCTATAAGGGCCACCATGTATATGCTGCTGTTGACCAAAACATTATTATGCAGCTCATGACTTTACACATTAATGAAAAAGAAAAGAAAAAGGTACCACACAGAGAGGGAAAATGCATTTATAATACTGTATTAACTGAAAAGAGGACTATCATTAATATATTTTTTAAACTCCTATGCAAATTAGTAAGAAAAAGACATCAAGTCAATAAAAAAAAAAAAATGGGCCAAAGTTTTAAGAGGTACTTCAAAAAAGGGCATATCCAAATGGGCACTAAAATAGTGAAAAGACTCTCAACCTCATTAGTAACCAGAAATGCAAATTAAAGCTAAAAGATGTCATTACATACTCCCCAAATTAGTAAGGTTTAAAATGAGTGGCACACCAAGGACTGGCAAGAATCTAGAGCAACACAGACACTTTATGCAGTTTTGTCAGGTGTGTGAACTGGTGCAATCACTTTGGAAACAGCTTGACATGATCTACTCAAGTTGAAGATAAGCACGCCCTAAGAGGCAGAGGTTCCACTTCTTGCTACACCCCTACCCCCAAGAAACTCATTCACACTGTGTTGTTGACTGGATGTGTCCTCTCAAAATTCCTATTTTGAAGCCCTAACCCCTAATGGGGCTATAATTAGATATAGGGAGTAAAAGCAGGTAAATAAGGCTAAATGACAAAAGAGTGGGGCCTATTTCAATATGACGAGTGTCTTTATAAGAAGAGAAAGAGATACCAGGGCTGTGTTCCCACAGTGAAAAAGCATGCGCTCATACAGTGAAAGGCCACTGTCTGCAAGCCAGAGAGAGAACTGGCTTCAGAAGCCAAGCCTGTGGACGCCTCCATCTTGGATTTCCTGCCTCCAGCATTATGAAAAAATTAACTTCCGTTGTTTAAGAAACAAAACAGTCTATTTTGTCATGATAATACTACCTGAAATCCAAGTATAAATATGTTCAGCGCAGTACTTTTTATTTTTGTAGCCCCCCCAAATTATATTATATTATTCAGGGATGCATACAAATTTAGAAAAATTACAAGGAAATCAAGAAAATTACTTATCAATGTTTATTATATTAATAATCAGAATAATGAATGAGATTTTGTGATTCCATCTGATGACCTAGGTAATAGTTACAGGGTTGATTATTTATTCAAGTATACATTTGTGTATTATATATTTTCCCTATACATAGATCACATTTCACAATTTTAAAATGCTTACAAGGATATAAAATATTCCTTAAGAAGTTTCTACCCTAGACAAAAGTTTCACAGTACAGTTTCATAGTGTATATGAAAACAGACCTTGTACTCTAAGATCAATTTGTCATTCTAAAGTATTTTCATATATTCCATCACAACTGTATGTACTTTCATCACCTACCTTTACAGGAATGTTCTTATCAAAATCAGGGAAGTGAATTATTTTATTTAGCTTGGACACATACAGTATCATTATGGTAGCTGCCATCTAAAGAAAAGGGGAGAGAGAAACCTCAGCGAAATATCTGGGAAGGTGGCTTCAGGCACAAAGACATCACCCAAAGAAAATAGATCCATCAAAAAAAATACATCCCCAAAATTCACTTTTCTAGGGTCTAAAAAATGATTTCTTGGAGTATTAACACTTTTCTTGCCACTGTATGGATTCTGTTAAAACCACAGGTATAATAGACATACACATACATATTATCTCAAGGGGCTAAAGGAACGATCATAGAAAACAGAACAATGTTCCCAAAAGTGACCATACAATAAGTGAGGTCAATCACTGTTCCTGAACCATACTCCCACATATGGTTACCTTACCCCATAGAGTGGGTATGGAAGTGGAGGGGGGGAGGAAATACCACACATAAACATACTTTTTGAAAAGTCCAGTATTTCTGTAATACAGAAAATAAATTAAGAGAAAAACTTTGAAAGGAATTTTTTGCATAGTAGCCAGTATTATAAAAAAAATCCTGGGCCTCCCTGGTGGCACAGGCAGTTGAGCGCAGTGCTGTGAAGCTGTCCACAGCCTCTGCAACCCAGGTTTGATCCCCACAGCCTTGGAGCAACCCACATGGCGAGGAGCCCTCTCCTGTCTCACCCGCTGCTCCCCTCAGCAGTATATTTCATCAGTCTGCCTGTTCTGTTCCCCACTCTGTCTCCGGTGAGTCCTCTCACCCTCCTGCACATCTGGCCTGTACCCCTGTTCTTGTATAAATAAAAAATAAATCTTAAAAAAACTTTTAAAAAATTTTTTTAAAAATCTCATTCAAATCCTATTAATCTGGAGCAGAGCAGGTATATTAAAAATACTCCAGATTATCATCCCAAAATAAACAATTGAATATCATCTTCCAATGAAAATGTTAGAACTTACTTAATTTTTTCCATGTAAGGATGCAAAAATTTAAGGACTTCAACATTATTACAATCCTAAATTTTGACTCTAATGAGTTTAAAAACTTAATGCTTAGGATAGACTCTACATAACTAGAGTCCATTCCAGATTATAATTGCAGTTTGTATTTATGGTTTGCATTATAACTCTTTCAGAAATGTACTAGCACTTATCTAAAATATTCTGAATTCAAACTTTTAAAATTAGGTCTGCTGGTCTCTTCCCCAAACAAATTGCCAATCAAAAAGTCTTTACCTTTACTGAGTACACACCAGTAAATTTACTTGCCTTACAGATTACCAAGGACACATTATCAAATATTCTCTGATATTGAAAGTACTTATTTCTACAGAGTTTCACACTAGTATATAAAGATCATATATTTTTTGACCTTAAGGAAAAACAGTTTCCTTGTTCCTTCATTTCTCTAAAATGATGTTGCTAAGAGGGACTTATTAGCAGAACACTTAATGAAAATCATGTTTTAACCATATAAATGGCAGCTATTTCAAGATGCACAATTTAAATTTAGTTAATTTTCATAATTTTAAATTTTCTCCCCATAAATTAAACTTAACCATGCCTGTTACCACTTTTCTACTGGAAATCATCAGCATATCACCAGAAGAATAAACAAGGGGCAAATTAGTATTAATGGGGAATTTCAGAATAAAGGTCAAATGAAGTTCATCTGACAACTTATCCAAGCTCATCCTTACACTTGAAAACAAATCTGCAGGAAGCAAACTGCAAACATTCTTTGCTTAGCCTATAAGAGTTATCTAGAAATCTCAATCCAGCACCAGCATTTACAAATTAGATTTTTGGGTCTCCCTGGTGACACAAGGTGTTAAGTCTCAGTGTTATCGAGCTATGGCCAGTCACTGGAGCATGAGTTTGATCCCTGGCCAGGGAGATACCCACATGGCACAGCAGACCTCTCCTGTCTCGCCCGCTGTTCCCCTCAGCAGTGTATTTCAGTAGATCTGCCTGTTCTGCTCCCCACTCTGTCCCTAGTGAATCCTCTCACACCCCAGCACCTCTGGTCTATACCCCAATTCTTGTATGCATAAATAAATTTTAAAAATTAGATTTGATGTAAAAATTAAAATTCCCTACTTCTCTTGAAAACTTTCTGAAATTCTATAATAAGGGCATAGCAGGTGCTGTCTCATCTCCCCAAACCTTTTCCTCTCACACACAATTGCTTAAACCAAGTACCCAGTGCACACTTCCAGGACGGGGGTAACCATGCTCCCTGCCATCCACCAGCCCCTACCCATGCACTTTTACCCAACAGCCATTGTAGGCTTTGAGTCTGCTGGGCCCATGCTTCACAGTAATTAAATCCAATTAGGAAAGTTAAAATAAGTAGTCATTTTTCCCTATAAATATAGCTATTCCTAAATCACAGAATGAAATAAAGTGTACCTCACTATTTCACCTTATTTCACCAAAAAATCCATGATACTCCTGTGTCTGCCAGCAGAATACATTTGTAGAATAAGTCTTAAACAAAGACAGCACATTTTTCTCATGTATACTGATGCTTATTTAGAGCTTAATTTTTTTTCCACTTACCTGTCCAATTCCAAGACAAATCGGTGACGGGAAGCTACAAAGAACACAGAAAAACAAGTATTTTTAGCAACTGATAAAAATTTGAAAAATCTATATTATACAATGATAAAAGTTATTTTAAAGTCTTGGGCATTTTACACTCTTAGACAATGAAAACAATATCAAATTTGTTGATTTTTCATGTCCTTTCCTTTTTAAAAGGGATCATTGCTAAACTTAGTAATTTCCTACTGCTGTTTGAAGCAGACTGTCTTTATATCAGTAGAAAACATGATGGTATATGTAGAAAGCCAAAAATTATCTGGGTTAAATTATTAGAATTAATAAATAACTCTAGCAAGTTTACTGGATAAAAGATGAATACATGAAAAATTCATTTGTATCTATATGCCAGCAAGAATCAAGTAAAGTGAAGATTTATTCACTTTAAAGATATTACTTATTTTAAATTATTTTAAAGATATCATTTATAATACCAACAAAAACATATCAAATAACACTAAGTACATAGTTTACAATATTAAGGAATTATTTTTTACTTTTCTAGGTATAAAATTGTATTGGGGTAATGTTATTTAAAAGAAAAGAATCCATATCTTTCATAAGTGCAGGTCAAAGTACATATGATGATATAATTTTAATTTGTTTCAATACAATCTAGGGGAAAATGGTGGAACTGAGTGGAGGAGGAATATAAAAGGTAGGGGAGAAGAGCAAAAAGGGTGTTGAAACCAGATAATGGATACAGAGCAATTCATTATACTATTTTTTAAAATAATATACCCAGGAACAAATTTAATGAAATCAATATCTAAAAAATTAAAGAAGTCCTAAATAAAGTTGATGGATTAGAAACTCAGTATTGTACTGAGGTTCATTATCTTCAAACTGATCTATAAAATCAATGTAATCTCTGTAAAAATACCAGCAAGTATTTTACAGGAACTGATAACCTGATCAAAAACTGAATGGAAAACATAGAGCAATAATTACCCAAGATTACCTTGAAGAACAAAATTGGAGGAAGGACTATTGGATGCTAGGGTTCACTTTAAAGCTACAATGAATGAGACACTGTGTTTTTTTGTAAAACCATAGTCCAAACAGGACAATGGAAGAGGGTATGGAGACAGGTACACTGCAGAGTAAGGAGAAGGGGAGAAGGAGCAGAGTCTTTCAACAAATGACACTGGCTAGTTTGGATACTGACTCCTGACCCTACCTCACACATACTAAACAAGGCGGCATTACACCTCCTCCGGCTTACTTGTTGTCCGTTGGTTCCAGTCATTATGTCAAGCTACTAAAAAATAGGGAGGGAGATATCACAAAAAAATTTCTCAGCCTTCAATCTGGTACCAGTGTGAGAATAAAGTTAACTCTCGTGGAAGCCAGGTTGTACCACCCACCTACCCCCTCCTAGAGGTTTCCTCATTGCCTTGCCAATAGCACCCCTCCCACCCAGAGAGCAGCTGTATTTCAATCACCTGTTTCCTTGGGGATATTAACTGCCCCCAGTTCAGAACAACTCTGCAGTTTCCAGCTCCACAGCCCCTAGATCAGGCTTTGTTGTGACTGCAGCACAGCTCAACTCCTCTCTGCCTAACCCTGCCTACCTCACCCCCTGACCAGAACGGATTTCCAAGAGCCTGCCCCAAGATACTTCCTCCACGAGTCAGTCTGCTTCCCAGAGAATACAACCTATGACACCAAAAAAAAATAAAATAAAATAAAATAAATAAGACAATATCAACACATTGTAAAAGAACAACTGAAAGTTTACAAAAAGGTAAACAGAGTCTGCCCTAGAAGAAAATATAATAGAAGATAATCTTCATAATTGCTTCCAGCTACAGAACACCTTAATAAAGAAGACACCAATAAAACAAGAGCTCAAAATCGAGATGACAAAACAGTTGGATGAGATGAAAAGGGCGCATACAGATCTAAAGACACTAACTGAGGACCAAGCAACTTAACTCCCATGACTAATTTAGAAACAGCACAGAACTAAATGGCCACTGCTAAAACTGAATTACCAACACTGTAGGTAATTTCAGAGAATGCAGAAGAAAAGGATAAAGTCGAAAAGATAAATATATACGAAATATAAACACCACCATACAGAGTTAACTGCTGTGCCTGTTATGCCAAACTCAATAAAGAGAAAAGGAAATGATCCGAAGAATAAAAGACAAATTCGTTTGCTTGACATGACGGGGGAGAAAACAAACAATCTTCACATCTGCACACTGGTAGAGGAAAATCTCAACATGATTAAAGTCACAGCCATGAACTTGCCATAAAAAACTGCCTGACAATGGAATCCACAAATTAGGAGTCAAATCAACATAGTGAGCTCAGGGATGGAGACATTGTGGTAAAAGGGCTGTTGCTGATTACTGTATGCATTTAAACACTAACAGATTCCAACAACAATACAAGTATAATTACACAACTGGATGCAACATTACAAAAGAAGAGGGGAGGGAAGACAGGGTAAAGTGTACAAGTATGCAAGAATCCTCAACTTTCAGAGCAGGAAGATCACACTATCAACAGTTGAAGCATGTTCACAAAATAAACTTCTTAATGTTTTTTGTGATCTCTTAATCTTAGAGGGATTTTTAAGCTCTTGTAGTGAAATTTCTTCAAAATGTAACAATTCTTTTAGCTGACAGTATGTTGAATAATATCCCTATTTCAGGGGAGCACGATCACATATTTCAGAGCACAGAAGCACCTCTGCAACTGATTTCCAATGGTGGGGTGAAGGACAAAAATAGCAAAATGTTAACCACTACATCTTAGTGGGGTGTTCCTTGTACTTTGTTTTCCATTTTTCTATATGCTTGAAAACTTTCATAATAAAAAGTTGTTGAGGGACCTAGGTTAGCCTCAAAAAGAAAAAATTAAATAGAAATCCCTTCCCCCCACTTGTTTTTTAAATAAATTAGTAAATAATTAGCATACGTAATATGAACCCATTAATACAAAGGCATTTCAACATATGTGTATATATATATATCTCCAATCCATCCATCTATCTAAAAAGATGTCTGTAATTATTCCCTAATGTTAATTATAGTAGTTTAAAACATTTAACCCAATAACAGTTTTTGTGTGAATTCCTCATAATGATCACAACAGAATGATTTTTCTTGAAAAAAAATATTTCAAGATATCGAGTCTAGTTATGGACAGATAATTGTTATTGTTGTCTTTGTACATTTGTGTATTTAAACAAACCCTAATTCTTTTCACTGAATTCTTAATATAGGAGAGGAGCCAAGAAGTGTAGAAAGTGTATGCACACAACTCTGAAAGGAACAGAGAAATGAGAGTCCAGGTAGAGTTAAGGGAGAGTTAGTTTTGCCTGAGACACCCAAACTTGTTTTAAAGCTGATGGAGAAATGTTGCCTAGAATGGAAAAGGATATTGGAGAGAGAAGCAGAGCCCTGATTACTGGAGGAAACAAAGTAGTCCCTCCACTTGAGCAGAAGGATATGGAGGGGCCTTATTTTGTTAGTGGGCAGGATGAGGAACACTCCAGAACTCCCAAACCTGCTTGCTCTAAACGGGTTCTTGCCATTCACTGCATAAAAACAAACATACTCTGAGTACATAAAACCTTCAATAGAAAAGGACTTTAATACAGTTGGTGTGCAATAGAGAGAAGAGAATGTAGTTAAAATAGTTTCCCCATGAAACAACCAATATTACCCATCCCCTCACGGGTAAATGCCCAGCCAAACAGAGTTGGCCCAAAACAGAACCACTGAGGCCCAAAAGCTCACCACAGATCTAAGGCACCTTCAAGTGGGGACCATAGCAAAGCGAAAGAAGGGGCCAGACAAGTATGGACAGAAAAAAGCAAAAGCAAAACTGAAGTCAAGACAAAGGCTGCCATTGTCAGCCTCCCTACAGGTCTCTCACCCATGTCTCTTTCAAGTGTCTCCTTCCATGTCCCTCAAGCCCCTGGTGAAAGTCCAAGGCCACGAGCAAGTGCAGCCTCTTCACAAGTCTGTCTGCTCTGCCTGCTTCTCCAGGCCTTCTCCTAGTCCTCTTCTTTCCTTTCTTTTTCCCCAAGTCCTTCCTAGTTTCCCCTCAATGCTCAGCTACCCTTCTCAGTTATAGCAGGGAACCTGGAACCTCCCCTTTCTATGGAGACTACCCTGTTACAATTTGATAGTTTCTATTTTCTCAATCAAGTGTAAGAGAAGGAGGTTGGAGGATACAGGGAGAGGGGTTTAGATGAAGGCACAAGTCATTTCTGAGACCAGAAAAGCAAGCCCCAAAAGAAACTAGTAGGTAGTCAGGGCTGCCAACTGAGGCCTGTAGTCATCAATTTTAAAGTCAACCCTGCCTGCTCAGAAGTGGTTTTTCTCCCACAATAGTCAGAGCAGCTCAGGTGCTAAAGGAAGGATGAAGGTGGTGGGCCATGTCTGGTGAGCATCACACAAGGTGGGAAAGGTAGGTCAGTGGCTCTCCCCTGGTCCAAGAGGGAAGGGATGTCCTGAAGGCAGACTGGAGCAAAAAAAATCCAAAGGTGGTCCAGGGTATGAACACCCCCTGGTCAGAGTGGAGCAAAGATGGTTGTGGCCCTTGCAGTGACCACAGGAGGCAGGGCTGAACCAAGTCCCAGGAGAGACACCATGAGGTTCCCAGCAGCTCAAGTGAGTCCCGGTGGGAAGACTGAAGCCTTCACTGAAGGAGTCACAGAGGCTCAGGAGCCCCTACAGGAAACCAGTAAGGGAGGGGTGAAGTCCAGAGTCTGCACAGAGCAGGGGCACTGTGATGATGTGAGGAGGACTGAAGCCACCTCCTGGCCTCACCAGGGCAGGGTGAGGCTAAAGTCCAGGTCCATCCTAGTGGTCAGGGAGAGAGGTGTCTTCAGGAGCAAGCAGGTTTTCATCACAGTAAAAGAAAACCAGGAGTTGTTTCTGTTTTAAATTTCCAGTCTCCACCACTGGAGACTGACTGAATCATGTTTATAAAAACCTTTTCAAGCAATTCATACTGCCAAGTAGATTGGAAACCACTGTGTCAAAGTATCCCAAAGCCTTGGGAGGCATAAAAAAATAGACTCACACAGCAAATACTGACAATACTTGTTGAACTGTATACAACTAAGTTCTATGTTTTTATTAAGCATCATTAGTAAATTCTTGCATGACACAGGGAACAGTATCAAAATGGCAACAAAAACAAACTCGGACAACCCTCATGAATCTCAATCTGAGGAGCCCAGGGGTAACCAATTGGCAAAGAAGCAGGTTTACCTTGTTTTTCCCTTACACGGCAAGACCTTCAAAGATCTCTTTGCCAATCCAGGTAAATCTAGCATTACAATGAATTAAAACTAACAAATAACTAAGATCACTCATCAGTCTTGTACCCCATCAAGAAACAATCTGCTCAAAATGGAAGAGCGAAAACACCCCAGAGTTACATTCTCAAGATTCTGTAAATTAGGTAATCATAGTAAGGTCCTTCCTTCTTCCTACAACACAACAACCCATCCTCAAATAACTAATGCTGGGTCAGATTTCTGTGGTTTATTGTTGTAACCAAATCACTCCAAACTTCCTCCCTCAAAAATGTGCTCTTACAACATTTGCAGATGCAAAAATAAACAATGTTATTTGAACAGGGTTCTCCAATTGTATAAAATAACATTACGGAAATGTGTTCACTTATAAGAGTTCTAAAGGTCTTTCTTACTAAGGCAAAAAATTGATTTGCTCTTTCAATGATGGAACTCAGAATTTTAAAGATAGACTGGCTAGGACCTGAGATGTCCTGTATAATAATTCTTCCTTGTTGGACACTGCCCTCCACCTGCCTACCACATAACCAGTGTTTCTGGACCCTGCTTCTAAGAAGAGGTGATATGACTGCTATGGCCAGTGAGCACAGAACTCACTCAAGTGAGTAAACTTATCTCAAGAAAAGTCTTATCTACTCAAGAAAGTAGACTTATCTTCAAGCTTCATTTGCCATAACTGCTAGACACTCCCAAACAAGGCCATTAATGGCATATGCTTATTTTTTCTTTTTGGGAGTTATTTGAATTTTCTTTTTCTTTCATTAGCTTGCATTGTATGTGCTAAATGATCCTGGTTTATATGCTCATTCTCATTTCCTTGAGGAAGGTTTTGTGTTTCCCATGGACACCAGCAAACACACTGCAATACACTGGTAAAAATCTCTTAAAGAATATCAAAAGTCGGGCCAACCTGGTGGTGCAGGCAGTTGAGCACAGCTCTGCGAAGCTGTCCGCAGCCTCTGCAGCGTGGGTTCGATCCCAGCCAGCCAGGGAACTACCCACATGGTGTGGCAGACCTCTCCTGTCTCGCCCGCTGCTCTCCTCAGCAGTGTATTTCAGTCAGTCTGCCTGTTCTGTTCCCCACTCTGTCTCTGGTGAATCCTCTCACCCTCCCGCACCTCTGGCCTGCACCCCAGTTCTTGTATACATGAATAAATCAATCTTTGGGGGAAAAAAAGAATATCAACAGTCATAGTATCACCAAAAAATATCCCACATCTATACTTTCCCTCCATATCTGCTACAACCCCTTCAGTCCAGACCAACCATCCTAGAATTATCTAGAATATTGTGTTTCCTAATTCCATCCCTGTTTCCATTACCATCAATTCTCCACCCGATTACCAGCCAAAGAAATCTTTTTAATGGCACAAATTATGGCGCGTGACTCCCCCTGCTAAATCCTTCCAAGGAAAGGCTTGCATGTGGGCTAATATTTAAACTATTTGTCGTGGTCTCTCTGTTTTGACCCTAGTCCCCTAGTATCTGCTCTCAAGACAGGGTGATTTAGACCATGTCACTCCTCTGCTTCTCTCCTTCCAGTGACTCCCATCTCCTTCAGGGCCCCTCCAGGTGGTCCAAAGGGCCCTATATAATCTAGCAATCTGTTTACCTTGGGGTCCCACTTAATGCCATTCCCCATTTAGTGCCATGCCTGGCATGTTCTTCCTCCATCTCCCTTACTTCACTCAGAGGTGACCTCAAAAGTGAGACTTCATGGCCTCCCAGGTGGCGCAGTGGTTGAGCGCTGGTTTGCGAAGCTGCCCGCAGCCTCTGCAGCACCAGTTCAATCCCCAGCTGCTCCCCGGCCACTGGAGGAGGGTCCCACATGGCATGCAGGCCTCTCCTGCCACCCGCTGCTCCCCTCAGCAGTGTAGTTCGGTCCTTCTGCCTGCTCTGCTCCCCACTCTGGCTCTGATGAATTCTCTCACCCTCCCGCACTTCTGACTGAACCCAGTGCTCAAATAAATAAATAAATAAATAAATCTTAAAAAATAAAAAATAAAGGTGAGACTTCAGTGATCACACTGGAATTGTAAACTCTGTTCCACATTGACACTCTCTTCCTGCCTTTTTTTTTTCCCCTGACCACATAGTTGCATCTGACATAAAATAAATTCTTTGCTTTATTGATTGATCCAGCAGAAAACTCCATGCAAGCTCCAGAAGACTGAATGTAATGATGTTTGGGATGTTGATCTGCCTAATTCGCTTCTGTCTCCCATGAGCCTAGACTAGTGCTTGGCATATAATTGATGCTTAATAAATATTATTAAATGAAGGATCTGATCCTGTCTTCCCTGCCTATACCCCCACACTGCCCCCCCCCCACCCAACTGTCTCTTATCTTCTTCCATTTGCTTAGTCAGTTTCAGCCATAGTAACTTTCTCTCTGTTCCCCGAGCAATCCAACCTCATGCTCTCCTCAGTACATTCCCTTCTGCCTAACATGCTCCAGCACCAACTACTCCACACCCAGGCATTCTCACAAGACACCACTGCAATCACCTTGCTTATTCAGGAACCTACTTGTTTATTTTCTGTCTCCACCACTGATGTGAAATGACTGGCTCAGAGCCTTTGTATAGTTCACAGCCTCTCTTCTAGTGTCTGTAATGGGCTTGGCACATACTAGGTGCTCAGTAAATACCTAATGGAGGTAGAGCTAATTCTCAAGAATAAAATAAGAAGCCTGGAAATAGTCTGAGATCTCTTTGGGTTCATTATAAAATTCTTATTTTTACATTCAGTATACTTCACAAAGAGCCTCATCTATGACAGCTACAGAAAAACTCCGGGAGAGAATTAACAGAGTTATAATTATCCAACTCTTACATCTGACAAAACTGCTTAGTCTGAGACTGGCCCAAGAGAACTATAGAGGATGAAATGGTGGAAATGGGTCTAAGTCCACAGCACTTTCAATGATGCTACAGGAATAGGCTCAAGGAACCACATTCTTGCTGGTTTACTACGCACTCACAGAAAAAGCGCATCATCTGAACTTGTGATTGTTTTCTTCAGTTATCCATGAATCCGCTGGTAATTTTAGAATGAAACCATACAAACAAACGTATACGATCAGGACTCGTGTGCTTGTTAAACATCTAGACTGGTGTATAAAGCCCAGGTCATCTTTGGAGTACACATTCGGTCACTTGTCTCTGTTCACCAGGGTATCTGCGGGCATGGGGATGGGCTCCGCAAGCACAGCCAGGCGGGCGTCCTGCGGTGGCGGTAGGGGTGCGGTGTGGCTGCTTTCTCGCCAAGTAGAACGACTCTGGTAAACTGTGACTGGGTTTTTAGAAGCCTGCGGGGGTTCCGGCCCTTTGCAGTGCTGGTAAACGTGGCGCTCGGCCATCCACGTGGGCCCCGGCGTCCCCGAGGCGCCCAGCTCGGGGCTCCCGTCCGCCCGCGGCCCCGGGCGCGGTGGAAGCGCGCAGAGGGCTGTGGCAGCTCCGCGGCGGCCCGGCCCGGGCCTCGGGGGTCGGGCCAGCCCCGACCCGCGCAGGGCGCAGAGGCGGAAGGTGCCGGGACAGGTCGCCGCGGAGCGAACGGGCGCTGCCCACCGCCCCCGCCCGGAGCCCCGGCGGCCGGCTCACCCGTAGGTGGTCAGCAGCGTCTTGTTGACCAGCACGAGGAGGAAGGAGCAGGTCCCGTAGAAGAAGGCCGACAGCAGCTGGGCCGCCGGCAAGGGCGCTCGCGCGGAGGCGGGGACCCCGCCGGGGCCCTCGGCCTGGCAGCCGGCCGTCATGTTCCGCCGCCCGCCGCAGCCTCGCTCGGCCCTGCCCGCCGGATGCGTCCCCGCCCCGGGTCCCGGCGGTGGAGGGCGCGGCCCAAACAGGAAGGGCCTGGGCGCCAACCCCACCAGCCCGCGGGCCCCCACCCCAGTCCCCGGAGGCCCCGAAAGCTGCGGGCACGGAGGATCCGGTGCGACTGGAGCTGGCTCGCAGAAATACCACGGATCCTAGCACCTCCTTCTGACCCTACAGGGAATATAGGAACGGGGCTGGGAATAGAGTAAGGCTGACTTGCGCCCAGACTGAGCTCTTGGAGAGAAAACACTTCAGTTAACTCTCAGGGTTTGTTAGGCTGCTTTCCCCCTGCTATCTTGTGGGCGTGGGGGTGGTTGTTTTTAACGTGTAATTTGCGCAGAATACAAGACAGATTTTACGAGTCCACAGTTCAAAACTTGGACAAATACAACCGCTCAAAACATGCACCATTTCCTGTACCCCCAAAATTGCCCTTTGTGCCCGGCGGAGGTCAAATTCCACAGTACCATGGAACTCTGATGTACGTTACTGTAAATTAGATTTGCCTTTTCATATATTTTATGTATGTGCTATTAAGGCTTTTTTTCATTGTTCATTTTTGTGACTCACCCATTTAATTGTATCACAATGTGTTTCTACATTCACCAGCTGATGGGATCTTAATTGCTTCTACTTTAGGACTACTATAAAAAGTGCATCCAAGAACGGTCCTGTACAAGCTCGTCTGTGAACTCATGTCTTTACTTATCTTCTTTGACACCGAGGAGTGGAGAGGCAAGGGATAACACGGGTGCAGTCTCAAGGCTCTTCTTGCCTGAGACTACTTTAGAGCAGGTTCTCCCCTTACCTGAGGGCCGACTTCTCTAGATGGATAGTAAGCAAGCCTCAGTGTTTGTTGTTCACTGTGATTGAAGGGAAGTAGACCAGAATTGCCTGCTCTGACCAGAGCCTGCCTGCTCTATTTTTTCAAGTGTCCCATACTTTCATTCTAAATAGTCTTTAAATGTCTCAAATTTTATCTTAGAAAAGCTGGAGATTTCAAGTTAAATGGATGTCTGGATTTAAGTATACCATACTATACAACAGCTTTTCTAATGTAGGCACTGAAAAACCAAGAATGTTTTCAGCACTGATTAATAAAAAAATAAGCAGAAATTTTGACACATTAGTACCAAAAAAGAAAGAAAAAACAAAAACAAAACCACACAAGCAAGACCATTTTAAAATAGAAAATGAATTCAATTAGGTTGAACCAAAAAATCTGAACTTACAATCATTTTGGCAATTTAAAAGATTTTTGCTAATGAGCCCCCAAACAAGTTTTGACCATGAAAGAGTATTTTGAAGTCAGTTTTAATGATAGCCTTAACCAAATTTGCACTTGCTTCTATATATATATTTCCAGACCCTTAAAGGTCTGTCAAAATCTCAAGTCCTTACTGTTTAAATCAGAACTCACACAAAAAAAATTCTTGCAAAATTCTTGACATTGCAAATACACAACAAAAAAACCTACCAAACTAAAGAAAAAATTAGACCAATTTGCTCAACTCATAAAAGTGAACAGGCCCTGAGTGAATTCTTGGGGAGGTGACCCCAGATTCAATACATCCTGAATGTATTTAAGTGGGATGAAGTCCCAGTTCCTAATTACCCTAAAGCCTGGCGTAAGATCAGCAATAGTTTAATACTTACACCAGTGCATTTTTCACACTGCAAAAATGAACAGATGAGAAAGTTAAAATGAATGTCTATAATCTAAAAGGGCATGCTTTTTAAGTAAGAAAAAGGAATTCACATTCTGGTTCCAACTATGCAAAAAAGAGGCCTGAAATGAGACTGAAATGAAAAGTAAAATGCACCAATAATAATGGTTGAAGAATGTGGGACTACAGGCAACATTTCTATCTTCTTAATTTCTTTATATGATGGTAACATTTTTGATAGGAAATCAATTTATAAAGGTTCAAGAATAAACATGTACTTTAAACTGTAAAGGAAAATAAATTTTTATTCAAAGCATCTTTTAAAATTACAGCATGTTTATTCCTGCTGTCAACTCTGCCAAACTACAACTTAGCCATATGAAGCATAAAACACTTCAAAAATTTGAATGTAAACCACATTTTTAAAACAAAAAGCAGTCTTAACACACTTCAAATTTTAGATGCCAATGTATTTTGTCCAAGATACAGCTTATGTCAAAAAAAACCATTTTAAATATTTCTATAGAAAATAGTTGTAGTAATTTATTAAACTTCCAATTATACAAATAAAAAATGTTTTTGAATATAACTATTACAGCTGACAAAAGCTGACTAGAGAAACAAAATCCCTCACTTTTGAAGGACTTAACTTTTATTATCTGTGAACTATATTTGTATTTTTTATATTGTTACTGCCCTTCTTTCTTAAAATTCATCAAAGTTTAAATTTCCCAAGACTGATGAGCATTGCTTTTTAATTCATTTAAATCATATTTGAGAGGAAAAAATTCTAGAAAAACACAAACACCAAGTAAATTCAGATGCTATAGTCTCTCTTACTGTGCTTATTAAGTGCTCCAGGTTAAAATTCTATATACCAGATTACAAACAAATAGACCATTACAAATATAAATTTTCTTATTACAAAAAAAAAATCCCCTCAAGATTTGTAATTTACTATACAGAGGAATTACATTTTTAAAGTATGTCCTCATCATACACATCATTTATTACTATCATTTTTTGCTCCTTTTGAAGACATTTACATATGTCCCATTCCCCATGGCTACATATTTTAAAATATTTATGTACTGCAACACATTGGGATTTTTGGATAAAGAAGCCTGTATTTTGGATAATGTTTAAACTATACCTGTAGGATACTAGTTCAATTCAAAAAAGAAAAAAAAGGCACTGAAGAGCCCATATGTCCCTCTGTTATTCTGAGATTTACTTCAATTAAGCAATCTACAAAATTACCATGTTATGCATGTTATTCAGTTTCTGCTTAAAATATAAAAGTTAAAATGATGGATGGTCATGCCTACATAAAGGAGGTGAACTGCTCAGTTCGTGATTTTCTATTCATGCTTCAGTACATAAAGTGGGATTTAAAACACTTCATCTATTTGGAAAAATGGTTTAAAACCACCAAACAAGTTAACATACTTGCAGTTAAAACTATTCCAAAGCCTACTTGTTTGAGCAGCTAACATTTTCTGCAGTGTTTAACTGATAGCTAAACTTAGTGACCACAAAATAGCTTAGCATGTTATTCTGAAGTAAAGCAAGAAGGTGGCTTTATGCACTGAAAATATAAATAGGAGGCTTCCACTTGCTAACAATTCTAAACAAGCAGTACAATTAAAATTTAGTGTTTGCTAACAATAGATCTAAAATAGTTCACTATGAAACAACCCTGTAGCTGTCCCTTTTATTAAAACATCCAAGTGCCAAATCTCATTACAGGGCCCATAATACTAAAACAAAATACCAATTACCAAGTTACCTAGACTTTGCAAGATTAATCACTCAACTTCAGCAAATGAGAAATATGAAATGTGCAAAAGTTCCCAAGTTAACATGTCAGGGATGAGAAATGCTTTTCAAACCTTAACATCATAGTGAGTTTTATAAAGCCTCAGAAAGACAAAATAAGACTGATTTTAGTCCAATTTTTAAAATGTTAAACTATTATGCATCTTATCAAAACCCTCAAGTATCTATTTTCTTCCAAAGTCCACAACTTACAACATCTTTCAAAACAGATTTCCATTTCTCTAGTCATATTAGGCATACCATTTTGTGATTTAAAAATATATATCTTACATATCTTATACTTTCTTATTTGCTTCAGTGTTTACAGTATTGTTTATTATACTAATATACATTGTTTTAAAATGATCTTATAAATAATCTATTTCAATCTTCTTTGGCTAAAGGTACCATTCTGTTTTTTTGAAACAAGTGTCTTATTCAGAAAGTGCTTCCTGTGAGAACTGCTTCCAATGAATGCATTAAACTTGCAAAATCTAGCTTCCCACAATATGTAGTACTACCCTGTACTAGCAGTCCCATATTTACAAAATATTTTAAACTTTACAACAAATCTATTACCATACAAAAAAGTGCAATTCTCTCTCACCCCATATTCTGGGGCAATAACATTCTTTATAAATTTTCTACAGAATAGCAGCCTATGATAAGCAAATAAGGTGCTTAGCTTATGCCCAAGGGTCTACTTTTTAAGTATGCTGGGCAGTACTTCTGTACAGTGGAAGAGTCAGTGTTCAGGCTACTGGCGGAGAGTCGCTGCCAGGTTGGCCAGCTCCATGAGAGCGAGGGCTCCATGCAGGCGCTCCCGCTGCTCCTGAAGCCGGCGCTGGGCACCACTCTTTTCGTCATCCTCCTCGTCAGACTGAAGGTATTCCAGAGGGTCCTGCTGCTCCTGATCTGCCTTCTGAACGAGCTTTCCTTTCGAGGTGGGGGTCCGCTGTTCTCTTGTTTCCCAATACCTGTATAAATACATAGGCATTATTCATAATGTAGATGACATTCTCAAATGTATTTTCTTTAAATAAAAAGGTTCTTTTCTACAGTATTATTTTATGTGTTTCGATTTACAAAATTATTATTATATTAATATATTAATCATGTATTTCTGATAACAGTGGAAAAACTCAAGCTTCAGAAGTTGAGGGAATGGCTCAATTTCTAAAATTAAAAAGCTGTTCTGGGTCTCATGCATACCACTCTAAACTTGTGTTTGTCATTAAGTTTTAACTGTCTTAAAAATCTTATGTGAATTTTAAAAAAACTAGCAACAACAAATGTTGGCAAGGTTGTGGAGAAAAAGGAACTCTCCTGCACTGCTGGTGGGAGTGCAAACTGGTCCAACCACTGTGGAGAGCTGTGTGGAGATTTCTTGACCTACTAAACATAGAGCTTCCATATGATCCAGCAATTCCACTCCTAGGTATTTACCCAAAGGA